CACCCCCCACAAAAGACTAGTAGTAGAGTTTCTCTTCACTCCACTCTCCCCCTCAAGTTTCGCCATCATTCACGGCCACAAATTCCGCAGGAAACCCCATTTTCTCCATTCCTGGTAACCAACATATCTACTTTCTTTCTTCTTTTCGTCAAATTTGAAGATCCATCATCTGTGTGTAAACACAATCTATCTGTGGATTCAGCTTCCCATTTTTCAGAAACACTCGTCTTCGACAGTAATTCCTTTTTATCCAAGAAACACGTAATCTACTCGATCTTGAAGCTTTCTTGGTTATGGAAAATTTCGATTTTTTGGTAGTTGGTTGAAGTCTATTTGGTTTTGTTCTTGTTGATGAGAATTTAACCTTTTTGGGGGTTTTCTTCTCAACTTACAAAATGTTTACTTTCAGAAATCTAAATGATGTGCAGAAAACCAAAGCAAATGTAATTCCAAGTTCAAAATGATTCTATACCCATAAAGTTATACATGCTTTCATCATTTTGAGGGTTTCCCCTGTTTCTTTTTTTCTAAGCCAAGCATGGGATTCTGATGTTCCCCCTCACTTTTCTGTTTATGTTTCTGCAAATTTGGTGATTTTGGACAACTTCTAATTGTTTTCTTGCTTTCCTGTTGAATTTCCAGTTTATGTGGTCTGCACAACACTTGAAAACCTGAATCTTGAACCTTAAAAGCACGAGAAAATGGAGGAAAAACAGCTTGATTTGAATGCGCCTCTGCTCTCCGTTCGACGTTTATCGACAGCTTCCTCGAATTTAGATGGATTATCTTGCAATACCACTAGAAAATCGAGACCAACTCGACAACAGTCCCTTCCTGTTGCAAGATCTCAATGGGAACCCGAACAAGAAGACACGAAACCGGGGGCCATTCCCTTCATCTGGGAACAAATCCCCGGAAAAGCAAAAGACCGGAAAAAACCCACTTTGCAGCAGCCTAAAATCGCCCAAAATTCTCACCGATTTCCTTCACGAACAACCCCAGTTGATGAACAATCATCAGAAGATGTGCATGCTGATGCCATTGAAACACTTTCTATGTCGTTTTCGTGGAATCACAGTGAAGAAAATAGCGATATGGAGTCTTTGAGATCGTTTTCTACCGATATACAGACTCGTGATTATCTGATGAATCGGTTTTTGCCTGCAGCCAAGTCTATGATTGTTGAAACCCCACAGTATGTTGCAAAGAAGCAAGAAGCTCCGGTTCCTGAGCCTCCTAAGTATGTTAAGAAGGTTTACAGTGGAGAACTGAGGCCTTTGTTGCTCGAAAAATATCCAGTGAACTCGGTTTCGCCTTATAATCATGAAAACGATAAAGAAAGCGATGTGGTTGAGGAAGTCAAGAAGAAATCGAGCAAAAAGGGTTTCGGGTTCTTCCTCCCACGAATCTGCACGAAACGTTCTTCGTGTTTATCTAATCCAATGCCTGGACCGAAAACAAAGATTCATCAAAGTCAATCTCCGGTTGCCAATGTCGCTCCATCGCCTGGTCCGGTTCCACGACTTTCTCGAAGAACTTCATACAGCGGACCCTTAACCCCAAGTATCGAAAAGGTAATATATTTGCGCATATTTGTAGAATTTAATATAGAATTTGGCAAACTAGTTGATAAGCTGGTTGTCTGATGGGATGAAAGCTAGCTGGTGGCTAATAAACTAGCTATTGGCAGATAAGTAACTAATAATGTTTGGTAAAAACTAGCTATAAACCGGTCATGTTCGATAAAAAACAGGTGATAAGCTAGATGACAAAAGTAAAATGACATGAAAGTATCTCTCTCTTTGTAGCAAGCTATGGATGCTGTTATTAGGAAAAGAGCAGAGTCTCGGTCGAAAGAGGTGCACGAAACTCAGCGAAAACCAAGTCCAATGGCTCGCTCGGGTGACTCATTGCCGTCATCTCCCCACCGAGGTTTGTCGCGTAGCGGTCGGATATCTCCATACCGTAACGAATCACCTCGATCTCCGTTCCACGATGGTGCTCGGTTTCTCGGAGTTCCAAAAGATGTTCAAAATCAGATCGTTCAGCCTAAAACTTGCCCTTCACTTAACGTAAAAAGTAATTTTTCTCCACGTTTAATGCATGATAGTCCTCCAGCACAGGAGAAAACATTGTACATAGATTGGATCGGAAAACCAACAAATTTGACACCGGATGATACCAAGATCGAGCCAAATGTCGATCTGGAAGTTCCTGGTGTCCCCCCCTTGCCTAAATCGCCCTCGGAATCATGGCTTTGGCGGAAGATGACTCTAAGGAGTCCATTTCCAAAGAAGCTACAACCGGCTCCGATTGAGAAGAATCCAAAAATAGGTCCGAAATGGGAGACCATTGTGAAGACTTCTAATGTGCATCACGATCACGTTCGCTATTCCGAGGTAAATTTAGTTCGATTATTTTGAATCTGGACCGTAATCCTAGAGGAAATTAAACGAAATCTTGACTCGATTATGAATTTATTTGGCTTACTTTCAGGAACTGCTTAATGTTTCCAAGTACTCGGAGATCTCGTTTTGATAGGAGTGTTAACTCGTGAAGAATGTGAGGCTGTTCTGTTTTTCTGATGGCCCCTTTGGTGAGTCGGCTTTTGCGGTTTTCGGGTAGTTTTAGATGCTATTTTTCGAAAATGAATGAATTGGGTTGGGTTGGGATTGGATGATGGTTTTTGCATCCATATTTGTGATCTTGTTAACAATTCATCATCATCATCTTCTACTTCTATGTATGATGAACACATTGTTTTTCCTCCTGGGAATTGGATTTCTAATAGACACCATAGCCAAATTGTTTGTGCTTTAAACCAAGTACCCACTGTGTATAAACATATACATTTCACTTTAAGATGCAATTACCTATGATTGATTCCAAAAGTGTAAACGTAAGGAACAAACCCAAATCTCTAACAACATGTGTCGACAAGGACTTTCCAATCTTTTTGGAGAGCCTGTTACATCCAAACTTTTGATTACATTGCATAAATGAGATGATAGAGAATATATGTTAAGAATAAAAACGGGCTAAACCTAAAACGATTAACAATCTGAAATTAAACTTAAACCTAAACCATTAATGATTTGAACCTAAAACCAAATCATTTATAGTTTAAACCTAAATAATTTCGGCTATGGTTTTACATATGTTGATACAAAGACCCTATACACTTGTAAATTTGGGCCCCAAAATTGTTCAAAATCTCACATTTAACATGCTAAGGACGGCCCTATGTGTCGATTTACACCGGTTAAAATAAGCTCTTTAAAACGATCTTAATCATTAACTCTCAGATTCCCAGGTGCAATTAGCTTTATCAAAGTAGAAAAACACCAACTCAAAACCATAAGTTTGGCTTATTGGGGCTTCGATTGCAAGATCTCAATAACTCAATTTGGAACCTTACCAAAAGGTTAAGTAGAATCGATGAAGAAATATGCTCCAAATCGGTCCTTGCTCCATCTCCTCTTCATTCCAGCCATCGACTCCCCTCCGAGCAGTTATCGTATCCCTTTTTTAGAAGAGCCTCCTTGAAGAAACCATCTCAGAATCAAAGAACATATATTTGGTCCCTGAAAACCGTCACTGGGCAAGTATTCCGGCGGCTTTAGCCGCGAGAGGAGCTGCCTGAGGCTTTGGATGCTGCCGATTCCATTGGGAGAGGCCGCCTACCATCCCGCCGTGATTCTGGATGGGGTCCAGTAAGTAGATAAACCAATTTGGACTTTTGGGGTTAAACCTTGCATTTGGGCTTAAACATTAAACCATGCTTTTGGGTTTGGACTTCACAAAACACAAGAAATAAGGCTTTGGGTAATATATTTTAGTCATAGCCTTTTTTATGGGTCTTTTGACTAGAATTTTCTCCATAAAAATGCAATTCTCAGTAGTGATGGCCAAAATCCAGTTCCGGACAGCCGATCTCGGTCATAAAACTCGAGCCCGTTTAACTTGATCCATAACCGGTTCCGGTCCCTATAAAAAAATTAATTTTTTAATTTTTTTAATGATAGATTTTTTTAATACATTTTAAAATTTGTAATTGGGTCACTCAAATACACTTTAAAAATACTTTTTATTATAATTAAAATTACATTCAAATATTCAATTATTTGAAAATACACTTATTCATTGTCGTTATCCCATGTCGCATTGATTTGAAAAATTCCCGTCTCTAAAATTCTTCTAATAGCCTCTTAGTCATTAAGGTCATCAACGTCGAGTTCCTCATTATCGTCATATTATGAGTAAGTGCCGTAAGTATCGATAGTTAGCGACGTGCTTAATTTCATGACGATTTCATTTTCTTCCAAGTTTTCTTCCACCTCTTCAATCTCCACCTCTAACTATATCGTGTGTTGAATTCTATCAACGCTATCCAAGTAATCCTTCAAACAAGTGCAACACTCCACGATCTTCGAGCTTAACGGATAAATTATAAAATGTAAAACATTTTTTAATAATTGAAAATTGGTGTGCACCCGATTGTGGCGCACCAAACGGTTCAAACACGATTACAAGTTTGAATAAATGCCAAGATCGCGGCTCAATCCAATGTGCCGTTATGCATATATAAGAAACGAACAATCCGTGTGGTTCGTTCCATACATGACATGTTAAAGAAATGTTGCTAGACAAAAGATGAAAAACATTTGTTGCATTTCACTTCGACACATTTTCCACATTTTAATTGCATCATGTCTAAGGGTTTGACGACTTACCGACTTGTACTATAGTTGTAGTGTTTTTTGGATCAACTTCGTAACGTGAGGGTTGTCAAAATGTCCGAAAGACAACCCAACTTGAATGACATATTGTGTTGTCATTTGTCGATTCAACTCGATATCAAACGACCATATTTGACCTTGAGTGTCAAGTATCGGTTAGCTTGAATCATCCCCCGACCTCAACCCAGGGCACATTTTTTCGGTGTGGCGCCTTAAAGTAGAATTTCTTTCCGCCATAAGGAGAGCTTTGACACATTTTGCATTGTGCTTTTCTTTTCATGTTCGTGAGGATCACCAAGTTGTATGAATTTCAAATCTCAGACTTTCGTTCATGCTCAGCGAGAACTTGGACAACTTGATTGTTTGATGCATCATGTTGTTCACCGGTCATTTTGTAAGACAAAAAGAGAAAGAAATGAGAATTGTGAAGTGGAGGCGAGAAATGAATACGAGCCGAAGTCACAAAAAATAGCGAGAAACCGATAGTGTAAACGTTTTTCTGCGTTTTGTAAATTGTTATCTTACACCATACTCCATAACACTTATATATATTGTTTAGAAGGCCAAAAAGACAAAAAAAAGACTCAAGGGTGTTTATCAGTAATAGTCTTGTTTTTATGTTATTTATAACCCAAATTAGTTAATTAATATCCAAGATGAACTGTATTTGTACATGTCATCTGTAAGTTGTTATATGTCCATAACACGTGTCATACATAGATGCTATCAAGGAGTATGTGAACTTATAGGGTTGCACACAAATAATTGTGACACCCCAAAATGGGTCTAAAAAAGGGGGAAGGGGGAAGGGGGAAGGGGGGGAAGATAATACAATCAAGTGAGTTTTATTTTACCAAAATGTAAGGAAAATAGTTGAAAGGACCAAGATGAAAATAAATTGTTGAATCAAAGTAAAATGTGCAAAAGTCGTCAAAATAGTGATAGTAGGGGCGTATATGTAAATGTCGAAAAGTTTAGGGGGCCAAAGGTAATTCTTTTCAAGGTTTAGGGACCTGTTTCACCAACAGCACAACTCTGTTTAGAGATGGTGACCTCATAACCTAAAAATCATGATTTTCTCGATTGCGTCAAGTAATAAGCCAAAACCATTGACATATAAATGTAGAGGGCCAGTTGAGGATCATTTTCTTTTATATAGTTTGAAAAATAAGCAAAATACGAGAGAGAAATATGAGTTCAAAGTCGAAATTACTATTTTTCGTTGATGGTAGGTGAGATTCTTACCAAATCTTATTACTTTTATGTCTGTGGCTTCATTTTTAAAAGGTTTATCAAAACCCAGTAACCTCTTATCTCAAATTTGTGATTTCATGGTTAAATCGATGTTCAAAGTCATTGAGTTTTTATTAAAACCTGAAGTTTAAATGGGAAAATGGAACTCATTTTTTGAGAAAAAATTGTTTTCTTTATATCAAAATGTTACCAAGAGTTTAATGCAAAAATAATGAAGAAAAAAAGAGCAAGAAACAATAAAAAAATGAGCTTGAAAGTTCTAAAACTCGTGAATGGGGTTGCTGGTATGACCGGGTCGAACAGAGCTGGCCTACATGAAAAGAAATTAGTTTGTGAATGGTCAGGTTCAAACTTGCGACCTCAGCACCAAAACCCAACCCCCTTACGAGTTGATCTAAACCATTTTGTTTTAATCATGCCGATTTCTGTTATACATAGATAAACTAATGTTAGTAATTTGTTATTTAGAAGTCACAATTTTTACTGAAATCTCACCGAAGGGGACATAGTCACAGTTTAATTTTGTAAAAATTTAATTGAATGATGTTATGAAAAAAAAAATTAATAATATCTCAAGTGAAAATTATAGGGCATTCATCAAGTCGTGGCAGTAACTTTAGTTCGAGACGACACATGAAGAACCATATCACCAAACAATGATAATAAACACGCCCCCTAATATCAGTGGGGTCAATCGCCCACATGAACTGATAAAAAGAATATTACAATGGTTTTTAACCAAAAGGCTGAGATTCAAGAAAGGCATGCTTATTCTATTGTTGGTCTTTTATTTTTATACTCGCCCCCTCTTGCCTTTTTTAGTCCATCGTCTGATAAAATGCATGCAAACAATACATTGAGAAAAAAAGTTGGTCATTCCATTTTGTACCCACCTATCCATGATCTCTTTCATTTTTTCATCTGATGTGGGATGCAAATAATAATGTAGGAGAAAAGAAAATATAAAGATACTTTCAAAATCTAAAGTTTATCTTTTAGGATAATTTGAAGTTATGAAAATACATTCTATAACATTTGAATTGTAAATTCCAAATATTAGATATTGAACTAAGAAAAACAAATACTAATACTTGATCTTAACCAAAAGGTTGAACTTCTAGAAAGATTTGTTTGTTCCATTGTCAGTCATTTCTTTTTATACTTACCTATCTCTTATCACTTCATATCATGATCTGATGTAAAATGCAAATAATATTAAGAGTAACGTTGTCCCTTTTCTTTTTGTATCCACCTCTCTCATTTCTTTTTAAATATTTCCTTTGATGTAGAATACAAACAATAACATGTGAAAATAAATGATTTCCAATGATTAAAAGTTTTCACCTTATTCTCCTTAATTGTTGCTTATATATATATATATATATATATATATATATAGAGA